TCCCCTTTGCCCTACAGTGACCCTACAGCTCCTGCCAGGCCAGCTCAGGGGGTCACAGGAAAGGGACACCCGTGTCCCCAACCCTCCTGCTGCCGTGACTCAGTTTCCCCACGACTGCAGAGGGATCTCCAAGACATCAAATTGGAATAGAAAGAATCCCACAAAAACTTCCCTTCAGAAAGCCATGGAATAATTAAACCCCCCAGAACCTCACCTCACCCTTTCCGTGGTTTTTTATAATCCCAAATTATCCCCCGAGGTGTCAAGGAAACACCCACGGGTCCAGGGAGAAATCCTGGCCTCCCAGTGACCCAAGCCCCAAGGAAGATGTTAACCCTTTCAGTGCTTCAATCCTCCCTCCAGTGAGAGGAAGGAACAAGACATAAAAGAACAATGTGAAGACACAGATGAAAAAGAAGTCCCAGATGGGAAGGATGAGGAGATGCCTTAATTTTAGGGTTAAAATCCTCTTGTAAGCTATAAAGAAAAAGACTCTTTTTCCCTATAATGCATGGAACTATTGGGAGATGAAGAGTTTAATTAATATTGAGCAAAGACCTCCATACTAAAATAAGCAGATGTTAAGGCAGCTGTGATCCCACGAAAAGTTTAAACAGAGAAAAAGAAAAGAGTGATGAAACCCTGTGCCCCCAGGAAAAAAAAAGAAATCTGTGTTCCCAGAGATGAAGATGATTTTAGAGATAGATAATGAGAACTTTTACCTTTAAACAGCTCATCCTTAAAACAATACCCCACAAGTGAACATAACCCATAAACAAGCTGTGGGAAGGCTTGTAGGAAACAAGAGAGGCTTCAGGATAACAAATAATAAATTTCAAATAATAAATTTCCCTGGGCAGCTGCTATTCGATGATATTTGGTGATATTTGTAGAAGAGCCACGAGAGAACTGACTTTTTTCCTCCCAAAAATCTCCATAACATCAACAGAAAGACTTCTCTCCCTAAGTGAACTAAAGAAAGATTATTTTAGAGCAGTAAACTAAGTAAAAATTTAATTTTTGGGGTATCTGGGTCAGCCCCCCCTCTGCCCCTCTCCTCGAGCCAAGAGCCAGGCTCTGCTCAGGACTATTTTTAGGCCCTGCTCAAGTTGTGGGTGTGCAGCAGCAATGCCCACGTGGGGCTCGGTGGGGATGGGCTGTGGAAAGGTGGGACACGGCCCCCAAATCCCACCGGGGGCTCGGGGTGGGGTGTTTGGGGCTAGGAAGGGACGAGGATTCAGGGGGACACCTGGCAGGAGGAAGGGATGAGGATTTGGGGGGATGCTGGGAAGGAGGAAGGGACAAAGACTTGGGGTGCAATACTGGGAAGGAAGAAGGGATGAGGATTTGGGGTGATACTGGGAAGGAGGAAGGAATGAGAATTAGGGGTGCAATACTTGGCAGAAGGAAGGGACGAGGATTTGGGGTGCAATACTGGGAGGAGGAAGGGATTTGGGGGGATACTGGGAGGAGGAAGGGATTTGGGGTGCAATAGTGGGAAGGAGGAAGGGACAAGGATTTGGGGTGCAATACTTGGCAGAAGGAATGAATGAGGATTTGGGGTGATACTGGGAGGAGGAAGTCATGAGGATTTGGGGTGCAATACTGGAAAGGAAGAAGGGATGAGGATTTGGGGTGATACTGGGAAGGAAGAAGGGATGAGGATCTGGGGTGATATTGGGAGGAGGAAGGGATGAGGATTTAGGGTGCAATACTTGACAAAAGGGTCAAGGATCTGGGGTGCAATACCTGGGAGGAGGAAGGGATTTGGGGTGATACTGGGAGGAGGAAGGGATTTGGGGTGCAATAGTGGGAAGGAGGAAGGGACAAGGATTTGGGGTGCAATACTTGGCAGAAGGAATGAATGAGGATTTGGGGTGATACTGGGAGGAGGAAGTCATGAGGATTTGGGGTGCAATACTGGAAAGGAAGAAGGGATGAGGATTTGGGGTGATACTGGGAAGGAAGAAGGGATGAGGATCTGGGGTGATATTGGGAGGAGGAAGGGATGAGGATTTAGGGTGCAATACTTGACAAAAGGGTCAAGGATCTGGGGTGCAATACCGGGAAGGAGGAAGGGATTTGGGGTGATACTGGAAAGGAATAAGGGACGAGGATTTGGGGTGACAATACATGACAGAAGAAAGGGACTGGGATTCGGAGTGATCATTGCCGGGAGGAAGGAACTGGGATTTGGAGTGATCCTTGCCGGGAGGAAGGGACTGGCATTCGGGGTGATCCTTGCCGGGAGGAAGGGATTGGGCTTTGGGGTGATCCTTGCCGGGAGGAAGGGATTGGCATTCGGGGTGATCCTTGCCGGGAGGAAGGGATTGGCATTCGGGGTGATCCTTGCCGGGAGGAAGGGACTGGGACTCGGGATACCCGGCGGGCGGAGGAAGGCTGGGCGGGCTCTCCCTGGTCTCGGCGGGGAAAAGGGGAACCAGCGCTTCCTCCCGGGACCGCGGGCCGCCTTCAGCCCCGGACAGCCAAGAAGGAGCTTCCAGTGGGATCTCCGAGCATCCCGGGGTGTCACCCTCCCCGCACCCACCCCCGCCTGCGCCTCGGGGGTCGGGGGGACCCCCGCAGCCTCCCGAGCCCCGCGGGGCTCCCCGAACCCCCCGGGGGAGCCCCATTCATTCCTCCCTCCTTCCCTCCCTCCTCGCTCCCCCCGTCCGGCCCGGAACCCCGCCCGGCGCCGAGCCGCGGCCCGCGGCAGGGGCAGCGCAGCGGGGCGGCCCCGCGGCTCCCCCGGGCTGGAGCCGCCCCGCTCCGGCCGCAGCCGCACCCCCGGGACCCCCGGAACCCCGGCACTCACCGGGCCCGCGGCGGACACAGCGCGGGCGGCGGGCGGCGGCCCCGGCACGATTGGCGGAGAGCGCTTCCTGCCGGGAACGGCGGGAGGAGCCTGGAGAGACAGAGAGCCAGGGGACTGGGGAGCCGGGAATGGGGACTGGGGAGCCTGGAGGGACACGGAGCCAGGGGACTGGGGAGCCGGGAATAGGGACTGGGGAGCCTGGAGGGGGACAGGGAGCGAGGGGATTGGGGAGCCTGGAGAGGGACAGGGAGCGTGGGGATTGGGGAGCCTGGAGTGGGGATTGGGGAGCCTGGAGAGACACAGAGCCAGGGGATTGGGGAGCCTGGAGTGGGGATTGGGGAGCCTGGAGGACAGGGAGCAAAGGGATTGGGGAGCCGGGAATGGGGATTTGGGAGCCTGGAGAGACACGGAGAGAGGGGATTGGGGAGCCGGGAATGGGGATTGGGGAGCCTGGAGTGGGACGGAGCGAGGGGATTGGGGAGCCTGGAGAGGGACAGGGAGCGAGGGGATTGGGGAGCCGGGAATGGGGATTGGGGAGCCTGGAGAGACACAGAGCCAGGGGATTGGGGGGCCTGGGGGGGGGGTTGGGGGGCCAGGGGATTGGGGAGCCTGGAGTGGGATATGGAGCCAGGGAATTGGGGAGCTGGGAATGGGAGAGGAAGCGAGGGGATTGGGGAGCCGGGAATGGGGAACAGGAAGCCTGGAGCCGGGCATTGGGGAGCCTGGAGAGGAGGATTGGGGAGTGTTGAGCAGGGGGACTAGGGAGCACTGAGCCAGGGGATTGGGGTGCCTGGGAATTAGGGATTGAGGTTGACAGAGCCGTGGGTGTTGGGGGGCACCAGGCCAGAGGGATTGGGGGTGTCGGGAGCCTGAGGGTTGGGGTATGGGATTGGGGGTGTCGGGAGCCTGGGATTTGGGTGCAGGGAGCCAAGGGACCAGGACACAGCAATGCAGAGGATTGGGGTACACAGAGGCAGGGAATGTTGGGGTGCACAGGGCTGAGGAAATGGGGTGCATGGGGCCAGGTGAAGCCCTCAGAGGTGGGACACGCAGCCCCAGGGGATTGGGGTGCACAGAACCAGGGATTTTGGAGATCTCAGATTCGGGATGGGGAGATTTAAAAGTCAGGATGAGATGCACGGAATGAGGGATTTTGGAGATCTCAGGATGAGGAGATTTCAGGTTTGGGATGAGGTGCACAGAACCAGGGATTTCGGAGATCTCAGATTCGGGATTTTGGAGATCTCAAAGTCAGGATGAGATACACGGAACAAGGGATTTTGGAGAGCTCAGTTTGGGATGAGGTGCAGGAAACCAAGAACTTTGGAGACCCCAAAGTCAGGACATGGTGCACAGAACCAGGGATTTTGGAGATCTCAAATTCAGGATTTTGGAAGTCTCAAAGTCAGGATAAGGTGCACAGAACCGGGGATTTTGGAGATCTCAAATTCGGGATTTTGGAGACCTCAGATTCAGGATTTTGGAGATCTCAGATTCAGGATGAGGTGCAGGGAAGCAGGCAGGAAGGCTGAGCCATCTCCTGTGGGGAGGACGAGAGGCAGCTGGAATTTGCCAGGTGATGCCCAGCCTGCTTCCCAGGAACATCCTGGTTAATGATTTCCCTGCCCAATGCTGGGCAAAAGCACAGGAGGTATTTAGGGAATTAACCTAAATTAACCTCAAATTAGAGGTTAAAAAAAAAAAAAAACCTTCAATTTTTTTTTTGTGAAATCTCAAAAAAACCTCAATTTTTTTTCCAAGAAAAATCTCAAATTTTTCTCAAAAATTTCAAACTTCAAACTTGAAAATCTCAATTTTTCAATTTTGATCTCAAATTTGAAAAATCAAAAAATAATTTTTTGCTTTTTCATATCAAATGAAATCTCAAATTAGCAAACCAAAATCACTAGAGAGGGGAAACCCCAAAATTTTGGGAGCCCTGGCACTGGAAAGGGACCCCCAAAATGAGGGTGCTTTGGGCCTTTCCTGGCTGCAGAGCACAGGAAGCTCCTCACCCCTTTGATTACAGGGGAAAGCTGCAACACCCAGAGCTGGAGAGCTGAAAATGGAAAGCTGAGAGTTAAAATAACCCCAGAGCTGCTATATTTAAACCATTCCATGTTGGGGTTTTTTTTTCCCTCTGGCAGGCAAGAGAGGATTTTGCACATATGTAAACTTTGAGATAAGAAATGGTGATCTAGAAATGTTAGGGAATAGGATGGATGTTGTTGAGAGGAAAAAAAAAAAGTTTTAATGGATAGTTTTATAAATAAGATTAGATGCTTTAGAGAAATGGAATGATGAAAGATGAAGTCGGATTTATGAGGGGTAGTTTTAGATGATTGGTTTTCAGGTATTTATAGTATGGTGTGGTAAAGTTTTATATTTTATTTATATATATATATATAAAATATATATATTTATATTTTTTATTTGTATTTATTTATAGTCTATTTATAATGTTTTGTAATTAGGAAATAGTTGGGGTTTGATTGTGATGGTGCGAATTGTAAAATTTGTTTTACTTTTTTTATGAGATTGAAAATGGAATAAAGGTTTTTAAAACAGAGGGAGTGGACACAGGGAATTCCATTAAAAAAAAGACATAAATCCCTTTCAAAAAAAGACAAAAAAAAAAAAGTTTTAATGGATAGTTTTATAAATAAGATTAGATGCTTTAGAGAAATGGAATGATGAAAGATGAAGTAGGATTTATGAGGGGTAGTTTTAGATGATTGGTTTTCAGGTATTTATAGTATGGTGTCGTAAAGTTTTATATTTTATTTATATATATATATAAAATATATTTATATATTTTATTTATATTTATTTATAGTCTATTTATAATGTTTTGTAATTAGGAAATAGTTGGGGTTTGATTGTGATGGTGCGAATTGTAAAATTTGTTTTACTTTTTTTATGAGATTGAAAATGGAATAAAGGTTTTTAAAACAGAGGGAGTGGACACAGGGAATTCCATTAAAAAAAAGACATAAATCCCTTTCAAAAAAAGACATTAACCCCCCAAAAAAAGACATTAACCCCCCCAAAAAGATATAAATCTCCCCCAAAAGACAACCCCCCATAAATACATAAATTCCCCGCCAAAAGACATAAATCACCCTAAAAAAGACATGAATCCTCCAAAAAGATATAAATCCCCCCAAAAAAGACACAAATCCTCCCAAAAATATATAAATCCCTCAAAAAAGACATAAATCCCCCCCAAAAAAAAGACATGAATCCCTCCCAAAAAAGTCATCAATTCCCCCAAAAAAGACACAAGTCCCCCCCAAAAAAACATTAATCCCCCCAAAAAGACATAAATCCCCCCAAAAAAGTCATGAATCCCCCCAAAAAGACATAAATCCCCCC